CAAGGAGCTCTCCTTTGCCTCACAGCCCCGTTACACAGGGCGGTTGCCCCGCTTCTGGTTCACTACGCGCTTAACACAGGGGCCGGCCGCCGAAAGCGGAGGCGGTCAGTTTTGAGCCGTGGCGCTAAGTCACCACCTCCGGTCTCTCCCACCTTAATTGAAATGTAAGAGGTGGCAGAACGGAACGTTCACCCGCTGAACTCGTGTTGGTGCTTATTGAAGCCGCTTTAACACAATGGCATGTTTTAGATCACATACACAACGAGACAGCTAAGCGCTTTGCATTTTGTATGATGTAGCTTAGATTGTATCGGAATTGCGCCTACATCTTTTCCATAGTTTAAAGAGAAAAGAGACGGTGATTTTATTTATGTTAAACGAAGTATTTTCGTACGCAGTTTCTTATTTTAGTTCCAGAATCTATGCACTGCAGTGGTTAGACATACAGTAGAAGCTTATTTAATTGTAACTGCTCGTTCTCTGCTCTTAGTCGCGTAAAAGCCAAAGATAGTGCGTGTAAATTACATTTGTGATATTTAGGGATTCGGGTAAGCAGAGACAGATTCTTGTCTTGTTCCAGACGTTACGCAGAGGTGTGAAGCGGAGCTTGTTCGAATAATGGGTTTGTTGCTAAAATAAGTTTTTTTTTACCAACATTAATTTTCCAACAGGACCGTGACCAATTACAGACTGGTCACATTCGTAATCTCAGTAGAGCCATCGAGTCTTTACTGCCCTCTCGAAGGAGCCGAGATAAATAGTCTGGATATAGTGTTACTCCTGAACTGCGGGCACTTCTCGGGCTTCAAGTTGAAGAATCCGTTCTGCAGTGCACGGGAGTCCGCTTTCACATGGTTGTCTATCCGTGCACAGCGCAGAAAACCAGAAGACTGCGATCCATTTAACCCAACTCCCTTGTCCCCTTACCGCAGGGCTAGTTTCCCACCAACACCCTTTTGAGCTTTAAGAGAGGATGCGAGGACTCCTGAATTTGGTTGTTAGAGTATAACTGACTAAGAAGTTATACCTTTGCATGGTGAGTTTTAATTAGGTTTATTTAATCTGCGTCTTCAGAAAACGCAGATCCACGTAACCCTAGATTTAACAGGTCAGATTTAATGAAGGCAACCACTTGGTGGTTCGCGCAACTGAAGCGCTTAATATTCCAGTAACGGGCCAAATTTCGGTCTCTAAAATTAACATGTATTAAAATCACATTTTACCCGTGAATAACCAGGTGCCTACTGTAAATATCAGTGCTGTTACTGAGCCTAATTTCTGGAACATCTCACGTCGCAAGCGTATCGTACTGATTCAGCGGAACAGACACTATTGCCTATAATATAAAGATTAAAAACGCAATAATGTTAGACAGGGCTGCGAAAAGGAATATATGGTGCCACCCTGTGGACTGGTGGTACAGGAACATTTCTAGTCTCTAGCTCAGCTCTTCAACTGGCTGTGATTTCAGCTATAGAGGATATTAGGGTGTGTGTGAAACCTGTACTTTTTAAAGAATAACTGCAAGTGAAACCAAAGGACAGGATTAATAAGACAAAGATACATTGACTCTTTCTTTATTGAAAGACTGAACACACCACATGCCACTTGACCAAACAACCTTAACACTGTCGGAGGAACACCACATTTCTCATTTGATTGAGAACTTAGTGTCAGATCACTGGACTGCACCAGATTAATATTTGTGGATAAGAATAACTGATCACAAACCGTTAAAGAGTTTGATGTACTATATTCTCCAGCTGCTCAGCTGAAAGTTACATCATCTGGCACATTCACAAAACAAAATGGCAGTTTCAAAACAGTGGGGTATGTATCTTGGTGAAGAAGAATGTGTGCTTAGTGGAATTGCACTAAGATTGTCACTCATCTCCGTGAATTCGAGAGAGTTTTAATCTGAGCTGAGGCAAACTTATTTTCTCAACGTGACCTTTCTATTCAGAACAGAACTAGTTTTATGGTCCCTGCAGCGTGGACTGCTTTCCAATCATTTCCCTGAACTGATACACTGCCACATAACAGACTGGGAATAAAAGCCTCATTTTACAATGCCACGACTGCCAATCAAAATACCTCTTTACTCATTTTAGAGAATTAAAAGAGTCTCAACAACTTAAAAAAAGAACTATACCACTTGTATTAATAGTGTTTAAGAAAATGGCTTAAGCAGAATGGCTTAACACAGTCCTGTGGAGAACAGAGCAGACAGAAGCTGGAAATACAAAGAGTTGGACCTGCGCAAATGTCAGTCTAAGTTTACATTTGATTGAAAGAAAAACTCTGCCAAAAAAGCAGGCTAACACATACTGAGTGGACTGTCAAACACTTGCTTAAACAGGAAAAAAAGTCAGTCATGTGCATTAACCATGTAAAGCTGATAAACAGCAAGAGTGGAACGAAGAAATAACCTGATTCCTGTGTGTCGAGATTATAAAGTGTTTTTGACTCCGTGTAAGAATGAATAGCTGCCTTCAGGGTCACGGTTCACGGTCATTGTACCCACTGTGGTCTAGAACACATGGAAGACTTCTGCCCATGACCAGAGCAGGATATTTATAATGGTATCTAATCACACAGAAAGATCAGCCATTCAATTTTTGTTAATATCTCTTGAGCAAAAATGAAATGGGCATCGTAATTCAAAAAGGCAGAAATAGGCCCATAGCCTCAGGAGAGGGAAAAAAAAACAGGAATTTTGAAAACTACTTTCTGCGTTTCTATTATTCAAAACCACGCCAAAGCAAAGCTTTTTAAAAATGCACCTTTGGGATACCATTGACCTGGCTGCTTTAGCAAATTGAAGTTTTGTCGATCCAAACGGAAAACAAATATTCAAAAGCAATACCAGTGTAGAGAGTATTAAAAAAAACGCACTCCAGGAAAAAGCAAGGTCTATCCTCTGGACATACAGGTGATGAAATCTGGACAGACTCCCCTCTCAGTAAGCCTTGCTGGTATACTTACACAGAAATGCACCTGCCACCTTTCCCATATTACTGTGTGCATGAGCCACGCACGTACTGATCTCCATCTGACCAGCACAACAGGCGCTTTCGTCAGGAGGCCTTGGCGTGGGAGAAGGATTCGTGAGTTGGGGACAGATTACAAAGTTCTCTGGCAGTGGGGGCAGGGTGGGCTGGTCAGGTCATTTTTTGGGGTGGGTTGAATGGCAGTTCCCCGGGTCTCTCCACACAACGGGGCAGAGGGATGGGAGAGTGTATACGCACAATGGCGGGGGGGTGGGGGGTGTTTACTGATCCGTTCCGGCTGCTCTCTTGGTCCGCTTTCGGGGAGAAGCTTTTGGGGAGGCCTTGTCTGTGGGAAAAAGAGTTCAAGGCAGTTTGAGACTCTTAGCAAATGCATATTGTTCAATATCCAGCACTTTACTTTCCACTAACAAGAGCGCTGACAGTGCCAAAGCCCAGGAAAACCCTCTTGACTTTATTTTTCTGCTATATTACACCACACTGATCCAGTAAACCAGTCCCAGCAGAACTATTTAAGCAGGCTGTTTCTTCACCAAAGTAATTTAGAGATGCTTTATAATGGAAGCCACAAACTCTGCAGGCTTTCAGGACCAGAAATACGTGTTTCTCTGCTAAATGAATCAAAGTTGTACACTGGCCAAAGCTTATGTCTTGATTTAAAGTTCCTTGCAGGATCCCAATATGCTTTTCGAATAGGAGGGGACCCACTTCATCCAGCACTGAAGAGCTGCCCCCATCTGGATGACATGTAACAGCAATCCAAGCAGCCCCATTACACAGTCCTACACCCGCCGACTGCTGACCACCCCTGTCACAATGGGTAATCACTATAAGGTTAACACATAACAAGCCTTCATATTCCCACTGAAGACAATTCATAAACCTTGCATAACAGAGAAGGCAACACAGAGAGCCACTGAAATTGCTGCTACTTGTAGCTCATGTTGAGGACTACAGAGTGCCGTCATCCTTACTCGTGCTCTCTTGAAGTAAATTAAAGATGTTGGTGCTCAGCATTTAAGGGGAACTGCAGGCCCGTTTCTCAGAGTGGCAATGAAATCTCAGTAACAAAATAAATGAATTGATGGCATATAATTTTTTTTTTCAAAATTACAAATAAACATGGAGTTAACAAGTAAAAAATATTTGTCAGCAAAACCATCTTGAAGTTGAGAGCAATATTAATATTGGATTAAAAGACATGCATTCACAAGCCTGCTTCCTTACAATGGAATAAGGCTGCTTTACCTCACTGGAGGTTTTGTTGCTTTATTCTGAATGGCAGAATATGGCGCTGCCCATACCTGGAAGCTTTGTAAATGTTATGATGTAAATTGGAGGTTTTACAAGTTACTGTGTACATTAAACTTCCATTGTGGTTTGAAATGCACTCATCAATGCTGATTCTTTCTAACCCAGAAATATAAACATAGCGTTGCAGCTTCCCTTCTAAGATTGCAGGAAAATTATTCTATTGACCCAGACTTTGTTTTCCAAGCGTTAGATTTATAGTGAGCTGCTTCATAGTTAAAGCTGAAAAACAGCCCCAAGAAATCCTTTGATTCATAAACCCTGTGGGATTTATGACGAAAGAGGAGGGAATTCTTCCCATATTCACAGTTTCAGCTTTAATTAATGGTCCTACTCATAAGCCAAACTTTCTACTGTTCACTAGACTGAATGGATGACAAAACCTGACAGCTGATGCATAAAAAACAGCAATACACAAACTATTCCTCGATCATTTTAAAAATACTTCCAGGCAATGGAATATCGTGGGGTGTATCGTTTAGCTACCGGACTTTAAATGAAATGGTCTCTGGCATTTCCTTTCTTGTGAAGCTTGCTGTTTTCTGAATCACCCTTCTCCTGTAGACTGCTTCACGCTTGTCCACTCCGATACAGAGACATTAGAGAACACCGCCCCTGCTGTCTGAAGAGCTCGAGTTCGGCCCAGGTACTCACTCATGACGTTGAGGGTCTCCTGGGGAATCCAGCTGATGTCCACGTCGTTCAGACCGCCTGTGCCTGTCTCCACCTTCCCCGGGACTCTCTTCCTCTGCAAAACACAGGCACAGGGTCAAGCTACTAATGGCCATTTTCACCATTCTGAGATGCAGCTTGATTAATATCGCCATACTCCTGTCTGAAATGTGGACAAATACGATACTGAGGAATACAAAATCTTGGTCCTAACCTTTGATTGATACCATCCATCCATTTTCTTTGTCCATTTCAGGGTTGGAGCCTATCCCGACAAGCAATGGTCACAAGGTTAGGTTGTCCATCGCAGGGCACAGACAGATACATACAGATCAAATGCATACACACCAGGGCCAATGTTTCCAGAAGCCAATTAACCTACCAGTATGTTTTTAGACGCGTGGAAGGAAACCAGAGCACCTGGAGGAAACCCACATACACATGGGGGGTGGAAACAAACTCCACACAGACAGCACCCCAGTTCTGAAGTTGAACCTAGGGCCCCCGCAGGGTAGCAACGTGGACCACTAGGCCACTTTGATTGATACAGTTAAGTGAAATGACATTTGCTGCCTTCATTGGTGCAGCACTCTGGAGCACTCTCAAGCTCCTGCTTTCCATCAAATCTAAACACCAGAATACATACCGTCCTGGACTCCAGCACCTGGTAAAGCCCAAACAAGATGAGCGCCACAAGTCCAGACAGGAACACATACATGAACACCCTGTAGAGAGAACACAGGAAGATGTACTGTACTATTCTTCAGTCACAAGGCTGCAGAATTGATAAGGCTTCATACACATAGCATTTGAATGTGCGAGTTCTGGTCTAAGCATTACAAAACCATCAAAACACAAAGGGCCTGAACTCTCAAACCCCTGGTTTTGGATCTGTCTGGAAGCCTTTTAGATCTGAAATTTGCAGCTTTTTAAAGATTTTGTTTATTTTTATTCTAGTCACAGAACACGAGGACATTTGGAGGACTTTCCATTTACAGTTGTCAGTGTAGCCCTCCGGATAAATCTCCTTCTGTAAAGATTTAATCATGCCAACTGCCATGACGCAAAACCTGCGTGTCCCAGAGTGCCACAAACTGTTGGCATATATACCCCACACCAACCCTGTACTGGGATCTCGTGAACCAAACCATATCTTTCTTTTAGGAGACAAGATGGTGCAGGAAAGACATCCTTCCTACATTCCTAAGGGTTTATTTCTAGTATGCCATTCGATATGCAAGACCAGTATGTTCTGGGAATGCCCTGAAATAAGGCTTTTCTGGACCGATTAACATGGGGACCTAGAGAATATTAGAAAGGAATTAAACCTTTTACATTTGAGGTTCTAATTTTGGCAAGCTGGATTTTCACTAAAGTATTACTGATACATATCTGTTTGTAAAAAGACTACAACAAGAAGGTGGATTCTCCCAGATTAACCAACAATGAACGGGTGGATTGAAATAATAAATGAAGTTTACATAATGGAAAAATTATAATTTTTACTTAAATTACAGACGAACAAATTTGTCAAATATTTGTCTAGATGGGTTAAATACATTATGCCGTTACAGTCTGATTTGGTTGAGATACAGAATAACTGTATATACTGTACTGTATATAGTTTTGTTAGAAGTAAAATAATTGTAAAATATTTAAGGAACAGATAAGAACAGGCTAAAGTTTCATGTGTGATGTATATTGGTAAATTGGTATTATAAAAGAATTGTTGTGCAATGTCATCTGTATTTAAAAAGTTTCATCAGTTCTCTTAAAATAAAAAATTAAAAGAAATCAACAACCAGGAAAGCTGAGGACAAAGCTGTTGCAGCTGGGGAAAGAGCTTACGTTTCTCCATCCAGACCTTCCTCCAGCTCGGTGATGGTGACTGTCTGGTTGAATATGGCACTCTGGAAGACATTGCCCTGGGCCAGAGAGAAGACGCCATTCACGTCACTCACAAGCTCAACAATGACCGACTGTGTCCTAAGACACCCCAACTACACCCTTTAAACAACCCAACGCCACAAACTGTGATCTTTGTCCAAAACATTTAAAATGATGTATTTAATGTTTGCTCTGAGGGGACCATGAGATGCAAGCAAAAGTGAAAAACAACATTTTGGACTGAGATCCATCATTTGGGTGTGCAATTTCCTTCCTCTTATTAACTATAAGGCCCCAAGTCCTTTCTTCTAAAAATATTAAAGTCTTCAAACTATGCAATGGTAGCTCAGGAAAAAACGCCTTAGACGAATTTCATTATGTACAGTATCACAGTTTGTGCGAACCTTTGGGCGTACTTATATTAACAGAAACACAAACTTTGGGCACGATTAAATTTCGCTTGTGTCCTTAGGTGAAATCTGGGAACTGGTACTTTCTGCAATATTGAAAATTTCATTAGCTTGTGCTCGATTTTGTATATCTGGAAGGCAACATTTATCATCACACCTATCAAACAGTTACAGAAATTTCCTACAGCAAACCTGTCTTTCGTCTCCTTGCCTCTCCTCTGCAGGTCAGATCTGCTTTGTAGCAGCTGTGCTTAAGTGTCATTTGCGAGGGCTCAGTGAATGCCTGTGCAGTGATGCTGGAATGCCAATGGCTCTTTTGATATTTATTCCATCTCTGCATCTTAATTACACCATTGAATTGAATATTGACTTATCTGGCACCGATTCCCACAGGATCCAGGCCGGCAGGCTTTGAGGATATTACATTTGCTCATTAAATTGGCAGGACTGCGGCCCCTTTTGCAATCAGGAGCGACCATCACCACAGTGAACTGCAGAGGCATGAAGTGGGCCTCACTCCCTCACCTCACTGTCCTGGTAGTTGAGCAGGATGACCAGTCCGAAGGGGCGTCCAGCCATGGGCAGCGCGGGGATAAAGGAGTACTCAAAGGACGCCTGTCTCTGGGGCTGGACCAGCGTGCTCAGGGGCAGAACTGTGAACTGCAACACAGAACATTTCAGGGGCTCTCTCGAAATGAACACCTGCTTCCAATTACAGGATCTGAAACAAACTCGGGCTGCTTTCCCAGGAAATACGCAAATGGAATAAGGTGTTCAGGAACAGCTAGTGTCTGGCATCTGCAATGTCTTTTTCTTTCATTCCTACTTGCAACATGAACATATTGCTTGCATCAGATGTGGTGAAAATGGACTTTCAGTTTGTAGTATTAAGGATTGTCTCCTTGATTTGTTAGAATCCTGTGTAGTATGTGGGGGAAAAAATGCCGCTGGCAAACAGCAGGCAGCTGTTTCCTGTAGTTTCTGAAGCAGCTGGAGCTGAAGTAATATCATGACACTTCGACAATTCTCTGTCTTTGAACTTCGAAATGTTCAAGGTGTATGGTGTTCTCGCAAGTATTGGCTGGGGCTGTAAATATTCTAAGCAGAAACTGCAGCAGAGTATCAACCGAAGCAGAGTGAATGTGAGGCAGCCTGAAGGGCAGAAACACAAGGAGGGATGCAAAGTGCCAACGCGACAGACTCACATTCTGAATGTAGAACTGGTAGTCCTGGGGATACCGGAAGGAAGCCTCCAGTGACTGGACAGTGAAGTCTTGACTGCCCTTATTGGTGAAGCCCACCAAGAACTTCACAATTTCATTGGCTGGGAACTCTGGAACGCCATCAGGATTCAGACATCAAATTAAGAACACCCAAGCTTACCAAAATAAACAGCCATTTAGCATACTGTTTCCGCAGCTTTAAAAAAAACGGAGCTGTACTGAAGAGGCCATTAACGAGACACAGGGGTAAACTATCATCAGACAAATTACAATTTGTATTACAATTACAGACAAGACAAGTATTACAATTACATTTCTGAAAGCTCTATATCATCTCCATCTCACAAACAATTGGAGCCAGTGCTGGAAAGATGTAAAGTTTTCTAAAGATGTCTCAGAGCACTAAAGCACTGGATTGCGCCGCGTCTTTGAAGTTAATTAAACTAGATTTTATTTGAATATAGAAAAAGTCTATCGCAGTGGAAATGGAGTCGCTAAGAAGCAGAAAGGAGCAAGCAAGGAGGCTCTTCGGGAAATAAATTTATTACAGCTGCTTTTCCAGCTATTATTACAGTTATGAAGCAATTACATGATACAACCATCTTACTTGTTCGGGAAACAAATTATTATCGAACTCTAACTTTGTCTAACTAACTTTGTCACATTATAGTTTGCCCAATTTGAGCTGTTCCTCTGGATGCAAAGCTGTCATTTTGCCCCAGGACAACCACAACAGTTATAAAAGTAATCCAATGCTGCTACTTTTTGCACATTTTACCACCCACTTACAAGACATAAAACACTCTGCGCAACAGTTCATTTTTTAATTTGTCCAAATTGTCTGTACAGTATCTACTGGATCTTTACATCTGAAGAGCAATGAACGTGCAGTGTGACTTCCTGTGCGTGTGGACTTCATGTCATACTTGAAAACATTGCAGACCGCAGATGCTGGGCAGCATAGAGCAACCAAGTGAAGTGGCACCTACCTTCCCCACTCACAAAGATAATGGTGGTATCCACATCGGGGTGAGAGGTCACAGTGGCTTCCACAGGATCGTCCTGCTCATCTCCCGAGTCCTAGACAGAGTCAGGCACTCAGAGTAAATTACAGATTCGCAGCATCAGTGACCGACAGCTTCCAAGCAGGCCAGGTCTTTTTGAACACACTTTTAAAACTGAAAATTTTGCAGATCAAAATACAACAAGAAATGGGGTACAAGAAAAAATGTAAAGGGGAACTGTAATGCTATTTCTATATTTCGGTGTTACACGGTAACTTGTAAAACTTCCAATTTTCACCACAAAGTAAGATAAAATGTCCATGTATGCGCAGCGCCATTTGTCGTCATTGTCCGCAATTCAAAACGAGGCAACAAAAATTATTACACTGTAAAGAAGCAGGCTTGTGAATATCTCTCTTTAAATCCAATAGAAATGTTGCTCCCAAATTCGAGACGGTTTTGTTGACAAATACTACATATTTGTTATTTCTGCATCCAGATCACATTGGAAACTTTCTGTAGTGAAATGTCTGCTGCACAACCCGTACATCATTTGTTTTCACAGTGACTAGTGAGCAGGAAGGGCTGCATCACGTTTCGATTCGTGGAAACTCTCGCACTCGTGTGTGGCGAGACCAGGGATTTGCAACAGCATGGTGGCTTACAATACTTCACAAAGTTCAAAATCTATTTTGTTACTGAGATTTAATAACTGGTCTGAGAAATTGGGAATGCGGATCCCCTTTGGGGGGGCTGGGGGAGGGGGGGACTGAAAAATGTTTTGAGGACGAGAGAATGCATTTGCTTTATTTTAACTTTGAAAGCAGCTTCTTATCGAGGCCAGATTTTGAACCGCCATGCGAGTAACTCAGATCACCTCCACAACTCCCAACCAGCGCCAGAGCGATCAAGCAAGGCGTGCTTTCGGAAACCCACGCTGCCAGGCCATCTGCTTTTCAGGCTTCAGGCGGAGCAGCACAAACACAAACAGCACAGCTGAGGTGTAAGAGCAGACATGACCCAGCTCTCACCGACAGCACACATGGCAAGCTCACGGGATTCTAGTAAAACAGCAGGGCCTGCACCTTGCATCAAGTCAAAAACACCATGGCTGGATTCTCACTGCCACAGGAGCTGAGGTGACATGCAGAACACAAAAACACTGAGCCTTCATGCTGATGCTGGGTATGGGCAAGGAATCACTAAGGGTAAAGATCTGCTTGCCACAACAGAGACCAGGCAGAAATCCCCCTACCCTCCCTACAGTACTGCACAAACATCCAGATCCTCTTCTACTGCGGTGACCAGCACATCAGAGCCTTCAGAGGTTCATTCCTTTGACCAATTATCATTCAGATTTCTAGCAATGGTTTCTAGTCATCAATTACAAAGCAATAATAAAATCTAATCTCAGCTTTCCAAATATACAATAGCGCATGTTTTCAATTCAAGATACAGTACCTGCAGCATCATAGGTGCACAATTTTATTGGGAATATTTGCCTCAAGAGAGCAGGAAACAGCTTAAAGTCAAAATAAGAATACCAGGACAGATTCCTAGTGTTTCTCATTTTGGGCATTTTATTATCAAGCGATGTTACCGCAACAGTTTCTAGACTAGACGCAACATTTAACAAAATGGAAATATAGCTTACAATGATCAGAATTACAATATTTTAAATTATTTTAATTAATATTGATGATAGGAACACTTTATAGCCTTTTATGAATAGGCTTTGCTAAACTGTGATCTAGTGGAAATGCAGTGTGCTAAGTGCATTTTAAAGAGATTTATAGTCTAATGTATAGTATAAAATATTTTAAAATTAATAAAAATCAGAAACAATACTGAATATAATTTTAAAGGCAAAGTGATGCCTCAACAGTGCTCAAATGAAAGACGTCTCTCACTTCTTGGGAAGTCTTTGGAAACTTCTACCACAACACAGTCTATCAAACCAACCAGAAAACCCCACAATATAGCGGTTAACTTCAATGAGAACTAGAACATGATGTGCAGCTTATTAGAGACAGGCATAGAAACATAGTTGGCCAGTTCATCTTATGCCATGTTCCTTTAGGAGCCAATAATGGTTTTAGCATCTTAATTCTAAGCCATGGATCTTTAAATTAGCATCTGTATAAGAAAACAAATTGCTGATCTAATTCGACCAGAGAGCTGATCATTGGATAAAGATGTCATGTGCTTGTTCACTGGGGGTCCAACAAGCTGTCTCCAGCTGTTGTCCATCCCTAATATTAGTAACAGTGTCCTACTGGACAGGATGATGGCTCACCAGGTGCTACATGGCAGCCCAAGAACCCGGTTGTCACCTACGTCAGAGATGTGAGTTTCTTCTACCAGGGCTTCTTCATCGTCTTCCTCTTCCTCCTCATCTACCACAGAGTCTGCAGTTCCGTCTCCCGGAGGCTCACTTTCAGCTGACACCCGTCCTGTGCAAGAGAGGGGAAAACAGGAGGAACAGAATCAGCCATTATCAGCACTAACAACCTTTGCCAATCCTGCAGGCTTCCCAGAATTCCCTCCCCAGTAGGCTTAAGTTGAGGCAGCAGGAGGCAACTCTAGAGTACGATGAGTCTGTCTTTTAAAATGGAGTTAACACTTGGCAACTCCATCTGCTTTTTATCCCCTTCTTTCAGTACAGGGTCGTGGGGGAGCTGGATGCCAATGGGTGCAAGGCGGGGTACATCCAGGGTAGGACACCAGTCCAATGCAGGGCACACACACAGACACAAAAATAAAAACGCACTTACAAGGAAGCACTTGACAAGCAATTACTTCTAATGGCTCAGATCAAGTGTAATAGGCAATAGCCAGTGTGATACTGTAGACAGTGATACAAATGCAAGTGTCTCATCTTAGGCTGTGGGATCTGTTATGCTTTCGATAACTCCAAATGTAAATTCTCCCCTGCACAGTGCGTTACTTCTACCGCGTGAGACAGCCATACAAGAGCTAACCTAACCTGGTCCTCATGACCTCATTGCTTTCAGGTGCTCAGTGGATCTCAGGTGTTACTTACGTCACTTAACTCACTTTTTTTCTGATTAAAACGTTCTATAACTTTCAGCTCCTTCAAAGATCGGAAACCCATTGTTTGGAAAAATCTGGAGCCCATCCACATTACACCCCCAGAACACCCCAGTTCTGTTGGAGATGCCAGATACATTTATTGGAATTATATTTTTTTTTTTTACAATTAGCAAGGGAAGAAAGAAAATGTATCTGTATCATTGGCACTGAGTAGTTCGCCAATACTGCTTTAAGTTTCATAACACAAACAGATGAATTCAGACGGAACTCAGGTCAGAATGCAGAATTCAATTCAGTTTTAATGATGCTAAAATTGTCTGCCACACGATCAGAAATCCCAATCTTAACGTCTGCACACATTACAGGATGGAAATAAAACATTTCTGCTCGTTCGCAGGGGTTCGATGTTGAGCGTCAATGAATAAGGATCAACCCCAAAACGTATATTCACCATAAAACACCAATAAACCGGTTTCGCGCAGCGTCTAGTACGCGAGCTGAACTCCTTGTTATATTCAGTGAAGTGCAGTGTAATTGGTGGATTTGCAGCAGTAACATTTCGTAGCAGCTAAAGTAACCGCGTTAGCTCAGAGGAGCCAGTCTTTCATTCTCTTAGGACACGTCACCAAAGCTAGTGAATGAAAACAGCCGAGCAAAGTAGTACATCTGAAAGTTATCTAATTTAGGAAATCCAAATACATGAAATACAGTACGACGTGGATACCACATTCATATTTCAGCACTTCCTGTTTTATATTATTCACTTTTATCTTAAGTGAATGTACCTTGTTTATAATCTCCCTAACAATTTAAGTTTACATGCTTACTTGGAAGAAAACTTTCGAGAATGATACTTTGTTTTTAACAACATTTCATTTCTAGTTGTCCGGAAAAAGAAAAACCGCCTCGGGAACTTTGTTGAACTGGGACGCAAACTCAAATGAAAGTTTTAGTGGAGAAAACGGATTCCTTTTGTGAATTCCCCCTAAAAAATAAATTAAAGTGGAAACTGTGCGAGGGATTGAAGCGCATCTAAGCTTGAAACACAATAGGCATTATTCCATGCTCAATTTCTCCATGTAGTAAAAGTTCCACCAGCTGTGAAAGAGCGCACATGTTTGAGAAAAGGCAACATATACAGTTTATTTATTCACGTTATCGAGGTAACTTATTCCGAATTCACTACTATAACAACACACGGGCTCCAGGCTGATTTATCCAACAGTGAGAAAACTGCAAAGTGCTGCAAACAGAAAGCGGAGACGCTCTAAAACTGACAACTCCGGTCAACTGTGCCACGTCTATACATGCTGAAGATGCCACAACTACACCAGTTAGGTGTAACAGCTGGCGCAGATTATTTCCGAACTCGGGTTCGTTAAAATACAAAAAAAAAATATTTTCTTACCTACTGAGCCGATAAGGGAGCATGGGAATGCCAAGAGAAGAAGAAGAAGTATTTTTGACCCCATCTGAAACATTTTCACCGCTGTTAAAAGCGCTGCAACCTCGCCTCTGCTCCAAAGTCTGTAGTCTGTAAAAAGAAGGAGGCCAGGGCGGAGGGTGGAGACTTCAGAACTACTAGACCCGCCTCTCGATTGTAATCAAGACAGCAAGTACGAAATCAGCCCTGAATTTCAAATAGCGCTGCATTGAAAGCTACTGTGACTGAGAAAGATTACTCATCCACCCGCAGAGTTATCAGGCGCTTTGAACTGAATTCAGTCCAGTGTCTTGGAAGCTTTATATACGACACAAGATGTGAAATGTTATATTGTATTCAAATACATTGCGCCCGTTCAACAGTATTTTATTGATGCAAAAAATCTCAACCAGATGTCTCTCGAGTGATTAAAATACAAGAACATAGAAATGTTACAAAGACCAGTTTAGTTGTCACCTTTAGTTCCTTAAATGTGTTTTTTTAAACGCAGGGAGTTGCTTCCAGACCGCAATAATCTTCACTGCATAGAATCGTCTCCACTGTTCTACCATGAATGGTCCTAAACTTAATTTCCCCTTGCATCGCACTCTGATCTTGATCTTGAAGAGGTCCCCAGAGACTTTGTTAGTGCAGTCATCTCAGGTACAAACTATCCAGGGTTGTATTCTCTTCTGCCAAGATGGGTTCTGGCTCCCCCATGACCTTTATTTGAAATAAAGCAGTTAGAAAATGGATGGATGTTATGGAATTTGCAACCCTACCTAGATTTATATTGTCTGCTCTTATGTCAAGTCTCTAGATTGCACCAGATCCACGCTTACTGAAAAAATATGATGAGCACAAATCCTAAAATTAGACCCATAAAATAATGCTTTTCTATTAATGTATTTGCCTTGCACATTTAGTCAAAGCAATTTCCAGTTGTACCCATTTACAGGTTTTGGTATTTTGGGGGAGCAATATGAGTACACTGCCTTGGTAAAGCAGCATCCTAAACAGGATTTTTAAACTCATAACCTTCCAACTACAAACCCAGAGACCTCATCACTACTCCATACTGCCCACCTTAACTAGATCTTTTTCCACATGAATGCATGACTTTGGATTTCCAGTCTCAGCCAGAGGGTTTGTCTTTTGAGCGGCTCTACGTGTGCTGTGTGTCTTAGCTATCCACCGCTGCAGTTACTTACTCAAAGAGATCTAACTGGTTAAGAAGGCAAATTCTGCCTCTTTGAAATCCATGGTGACTTTCTGCTGTCTCCTTGCTTTCATTTAGATGATCGTCTAATTAGGACCCTCTATTTTCCCCCATTGCTTTAGATGGATATGAGGCAGTTTTTGGCCTGTTGTTCCTTGGTTTGATTTTGTCAACCCAGGCACTTTAAATAAATATGCACAGTACATACACACTGCTGAGCAGAACTCCAGTTTTTCTTCTTTATGCAGAAACACAATTCTACGGTCATATCCTACTATTCTATTGCCTATTTGTTTTTAGTTAAAAGGGCTTTTACTAAAGCTTTAGTTTTAAAGATACATGCAGAAGAACAAATAAGGTTAATGACAAAGGTCACCTGCTAATGAGTCAATTAGATTTGAATGGTAAATTTGATGGATGAGCTACAGTAGGACAACATTTCATATTGGCTGCTCATGTATAATTTATCCGGAGTTGCTCTGATCGACTTTTTTAAAGATTCTGATCAATGTGAGTTAAAGACTGCTAAAGCCTGTTTCCTTCCTGCCCAAACTGCCTTAATAATGGGCAAGGTTATAACAGTGGAAAACATGAAAAAATTAGCAATTACTTATGTTCTCCTGATGTAGAGTATCTTCTGATCGTGTCTAAGATATCAAAGACCTTTGCAAAGCAGTGAAGATTTACAGTTTTTTAAAGATAATTGTAAATACTATTATATGGGAGTACTCCAGCCCATAAAGGTTAATTGAATAAATGAAAAGGTAAATCATACATACAAATATTTATTAATAATAATGAATTAATTTGGTCAAATTCCCTCAATGATACCTAATTCACAATGAACTTGGGTCTTCCTGTAGTTTCTTTCAATTGGAACATGAAGTAGCAGGCTTATAAAAGGAAAAAGATCTCATTCACCACTGGTACTTTACCCTTCATCGTACTCTCCATATGGTAAAGAAAAAAGAAAAAAAACTAAATGGCCTCAGTTGTCATGACTTTAAAATCCATGTAAATCTATATCTTAAATAGATACATTTTCAGCTACATCACAAGTATTCCCTAAATATATGGTATGTCAGTACTAGAGAACGTATTGTGTTTTATTATGCCTTGTTTTTTCAAACATCCAGAACATCAATAAGTTTGAAGTCAATTTATGAGATGTTGGTATATATATGGTACAATATTTTTAAGGCAAAACATTTCCACAGATGTGAACCATCCCAGTCTGGGTAAGAAGGTGTGCTCCTCCACTTATTTCTTTGTAGTCATGGCTCACAAACTGTTGGACATCGAGCAGACAGGGAGAAGACTTTCAGTGTATCAATGACTGTGTGCTTTATTCTGCCACAGGGCTCTTTCTGTATGGTACACTTTTCAGCTCTTGTCCTGTAAGACCGGTGTGTCATCTGGGCTTGATTGCTGTTTCAGATGAAAGAGGTCATCAGATCAGTGCTTGATCAAATTGATTGCCAGCTGGGTCACTGGAAGCCGGTTGGGAAAAAATCAAGTGGCCAACGGCCTTCAAGACTTCAAGGGGTGAGAATCAGTGTTGTACGAGTTCTTATGTTCAAACTGCAGTAAAGAGAGAGAGAGAGTCTCTTATCCCCAAGGGGGGGAAAGTTGTTTTATAGCAGCGGTGTTGGTGTACAGACAGACAGAAAAAAAACCACGATAACAACAACACGCATACATATTTACATAGAAAATCAAGTATTAAGTAACAATATGGCTACAGGTATGAATGAGAACTTAAATCTGTTGGTTTTGGAGTTAGTTTTGTTGCGTTCTGATGGAAGTAACTGGAAATGATAAAACAAGGGGTGTGAAGGATCGTCGCAGATGGATTTTGCTTTACGTAAAACACGTCTACAATGGATGGAGGAGAGGGCTGGAAGATCAGCACCAACAACCTTCTGACATGTTTTCATGAGGCTGCCCAGTTTGTTCTTGCCTCTCAGATTCAGGTTGCCAAACCAGCAGATCAGGGTAAAAGTTAGAATAGATTCAAGTAAGGACCGATGGAACAAAATCAACAATGAATCATCAATGCAGAACAGTATTGGCTTTGAAATTTAGCTTGGAGTTCAGAACAGTCCCCAGGTACCTTTACTGTTCTACCAGCTCCCCTGAATCTCCGATGTAGGTTAAGGTAGGAGTATGGGGGTTTTCCTGATAGAAAGACAGAAATCGTCTCCGTACAATAAAATGTAATCTATTCATGATGAGAATGCTGCCTACTTACTGTACAAGCAAGTGTATAACAAATGAAAGTTTTACAAAAATACGCTGTAGTAAGTAGTGTACTGTACATGCCAGAAAAGGGCCAACGACATTTCTCTGGTGCTGTTTCAGCATGAAGCCAGCGTGGCATGCTGATTCTGTCTTCTCTCTCTTTGTCTCTGTCTCTTCTTCTCTGTGTTCATAGGAAGGGGTGCGGTTTGCAGCTCAGTATCTTGCTATGCTTTTGCACAGCAGTAGTTGTAGAGTGTGCATCCTGCTCTGAAAAACCCTAAAATATCCCCTGCAGCTGCTGGAGTCTCTTTCATTCTGGGGCCTGAAGTCACAGCAGAGAAGAGAGAGGCATCTCAAGCTCTATTATTTCAACAGCAGCACAGAAACAGAGAGAACAAAGCCTGACCTTTCCAAATGTGCAACACAGGTATGCAGGAATAAGTAAACCAACAGTTCTCTCCTCAGCGCTGGATCCGAGACGATCGAAGCTCTGAAATGGGGAACATGGGTTTGCCTGGCTGCAGGTCCAACTGCACCGAAATAAGTGGTGAGTCTCATTCTTCATTCGCCTTCAAACCAAATCCATCTTTCGTTACCCTTGGAGATGTACATTAACGCCAGCCAGCCAGTTTGTCCGCGAGTATCTACGTAACCCAGTGCACCAGTTAGAGTTTCCCCAGCTGATAGTTGACATGTTTTTAAATGTCAGATTTTGCTCAAATCCTGCTCTTCCAAATTGCTTCTCCAATTGCTTATCATCCATCCCCAGCAAATAGTTGCGTCCTAGTTCAGATTCGAGATTAATTCTCTCAGGAAGACATTAGAATATTAATTTTGATTTAAAAAAAAATCTGAAAACATAATTAAGATTGTATTTTTTTTAGTAGATTAATAGCTCATTCCCTCTCTTGGCTTGGGTTCCTGCACTTTGAATACACCATCTGAAGAAATTAACTCACTTCACAGTGTGATTGCTATTAAATCAGTCTCATTTAAAGATTGTCAAGTCAAAGACAAAATCAGTCTTATTGTTGTAACTATTTTAAATATCGTAATGTATATAATGTAATATCGTACAATTCGAGAGCATGTTTTGACGGTCTGAAGCTGCTCGCATGACACCATCTTTGAAGAAACTAAGGGTTTGATCACTATTTCAGATGAAAGCGGTCATCAGATTAGTGCTTCGTCAAATTCGAGTTGGGTCACTGGAAGTCCTTCAGGACTGGAGTGAGAATCAGCTTTGCCTGAGTACTCATGTTCAAACTCCTGTAAAGAAAGACAGAAATCTTCTCAATACAGTAAAAAGCAAAGTATTCACAATGAAAATGCTGTTTGACTGTTTTGCTAGTAATTGAATAACACATTTTATAAAAAGACTTTTTAAGTAAATAGTGTGGGTGCCAGAGAAGGCCCAATGACATTTCTCTAGTGCACGTTTGTGATCTCCTTCATGAAGAGGGTGTTGTATTTGACACAGGTTCTACTGCACTAGGGAGGATTCCAAGGTAATTAAAACAGAACGACACATTATGTGCTGTGGCCGTTTCTGGATTTCTAAAGAGGGGTGGATATTTGCAATTTTACAGAAGATGAGAGTCCTGACAGGGAACTACAAAAGCAAAGAAACACGCAGCAGCAGAAAAGCCTGAAAGTTAAGTAGTTGAT